TAATTGCTTAAGAGGCATTTCTCTCCCGCGCTCAGCCGGGGACTCGCTCAGGTTTCCTCCATCCGGTTTGTGTCCATCGCATCCTGGTGGAAAGCAAACATTGGCCCGGCTCCCCTGCCCCCCTCCCCCCAGCCCTGCCTGGTCCCTCACTGGGGACAGGCCTAACCCGAGTCACGGAGGCCGTGGCGGCCTCGCAGACACAGCCCGATGTCAGCGTGGCTGCTGGAAGGAGCGGCCTGCTCCAGGGAGCCACCAACCAGCGCCCTGTGGGGTAACACCAGGCCCCCGTTTTCCTGGACCCACCCACTGCTTCACCAACCGGGGCACCGCACGTGAAAATCGGAGTCTTGGGCTTTTCCTAGAGCCTCCGGGGCTCCCTCTGGCCCCTCTGAGGTTTGGAGAGGGCAGAGCTCTCCCCTGGACCCTAAACTCCTCACTCCTCATTGGCGTTGCTCACTCACCCCTCTGTAGACCTTGGTGACGTTAGGGAGTTGGGGACCCCTGGGCACGACTGCCTCCTTGATGACCCCCAGGGTGGCGGTGAGGGCTGGGAAAGCGTCATCTCTTTGCTTCTACACGAGCACCTGGGGCTTCCCACATACACCCCTTCCCAGCCATCCCCGGCCCCCCTGAATGTGTGAGTGCTGCCTCTGGCCCTCGGGCCCTGGGCATGTGCCATGCGTTCTGCTGGAGGCAGCCTTGTGCCCCCATCTCCTCTCCCGCCCCGACCCCACCCCCTTGTCCGCCAAAGAAACATGCAGCTGCCACCAGCTCTGACAGTGGCCCTTCCTCTGAGGGCAGGGCACCCTCAGGCCTCCTCGCCCTTGGGCACCCTCAGCAAGACAAGCACAGCCTGGCACTCAGCGGGGCTTCCGTGTCTGCTCAGTGACCCCAGGTCTGCAGGGGCGAAAGGGAAGAAAGCATGACCCGGTAAAGGCATTGCTATCGTTGCCCTAAAGCGGTGGTTCTCAACCTTCTGGCCCTTTAAATACAGTTCCTCATGTTGGGACCCAACCATAAAATTATTTTCGTGGTTACTTCCTGTCATGTTGCTACTGTGACAAAGGGGTCACGACCCACAGGTTGAGAACCGCTGCCCTAAAGGCCTGGAAAGTTTCCATGTGTGTTCACAATCGTGATGTCCTTTAATATCATCCGCATGTCAGCCAGAGAGCTAGTGACAGGAAGGGAGACGGGCTGATGGAGCGGAAGATTTCGGTGCGACATCCCTCGGGCAGGGGTATTGGGTGGCACGGGCGCCCAGTGGTTCTCAACCTTCTGGCCCTTTAAATACAGTTCCTCATGTTGGGACCCAACCATAAAATTATTTTCGTGGTTACTTCCTGTCATGTTGCTACTGTGATGAATCATGTAAATATCTGATATGCAGGATGGTCTTAGGCGACCCCTGTGAAAGGGTCGTTCGACCGCCAAAGGGGTTGCGACCCACAGGTTGAGAACCGCTGCCCCTAAAGGCCTGGAAAGTTTCAGTGTGTGTTCACAATCGCGATGTCCTTTAATATCATCCGCGTGTCAGCCAGAGAGCCAGTGACAGGAAGGGAGACGGGCTGGATGGAGCGGAAGGAGATTTCAGTGCGACACCCCTCAGGCAGGGGTATTGGGGTGGCATGGGTGGGCCTGGTATTTGGGGATTGAGAAGCCGCACCGGGGCTGACCCGGCTCAGCACACCCTGATTCCTGAAAAGCCTGGCCCCGGTGGCCGGCACATGGCAGGTTGTCTCAGGGACCTGGCCCAGGATCTGGGGCCTCCACACGTTGGGGTCCTGAGTGACCCGGGAAACAGAGCCGCTCAAGGGCACCCGACCCAATCCTGCGAGTGCTGGGCAACCCGGTGTATCCACTTTTCCAAGGGAGACCTGAGCCAGGGACTGGAGACAAACTCAAAGCTCTGAGCGGTTCCTCGTGCTCCCAGAGGAGGGAGCTATGTCACCCACGTGTGGCCTGTGCCACCCGGGGGCCAGCAGCAGTTTCTGCGGGGATTTGGACTCAGGTGGTTTTATTGGGGAGCTGACCCCAGGAAGCAGGAGTGAGGGACCAGGGCGAGTGACCCCGGGAAGGAGGAGAGGCCAACAAAGGGGGTGTCATCAGGGTTGTGCTCAGTTCCGCCAGTGCCTCTGGGAGAATCCTTGTACAGGATGCCTGCCGGCACTGCCCCTGAGCGATGGAGATGGGACATTTGTCCAGCAGCCCCTGCTCCCGATGGGGTGGGGGCTGCCTCTAGGTGCACTGGCTTCCTTGTGTTCTCAGGCTGCAGGAAGGCATGGGGGCCTGGGGGGACGGGGGCAGAAAGCAGAAAGGCGTGCTGCGCCCTCTTAAGGTCATGCGCTGCTTACAAGAGATGAGTCCGAGCCTACCGAGAACTCTCCCTGGTAGCCCAGGCTGAAATCTGAGGTGCGTTGAGTGGCCATGATGTCAAGTTCCAATGGTGTCTCTATAGTTGGACATGATAAAGGCCGTCCCAAAACTCACGCAAGAAGTAATCTTGATAGAAAACACAGGTTTACAATAATAAATTATAAATTTTTTATTGATTCATAAAGTATACAGTCTAGGGTTATGTATGGAATAGCACATTGGGTAAATGGCCTCCACGGCTTTGCTGGCACATACGCAAAGCCGTGGTCTTCATTGGTCTTCATTGTCCCTGCTCCTGGGCCATAATTGGTACTTGGTAATGCTTATCAAATTGAAGGGATTGAAATCAAAGGGCAACAGATATTAGAATCTGATTCAATAAACCAAGTAAAATTAGGCTTTTATTTTCTGTTGTTGTTGTTGTTGCTCACGCAAAATTTAAATCTTGCGTGAATTTTGGAACACCCAGTATAAAATCCTATCTAATAAAAGAGAAACATGGTAATTGGCGTACGACCACTACCCTTCCCATTGGCTAATCAGGGCAATATGCAAATTAACTGCCAGCCAAGATGTTGGCCGGCAGCCAAGCAGCTTGAAACTAACATGAGGCTTGCTTGCCTCAGTGAGGGAGGACTCCAACATTCCCCGCCTGCCGCTGCAGGCCTCTGAGCCTGCAGTTTAGGAAACTATGTAACAAACATAGAAGCTAAACAAAACTCCAGAAACCTGCTTTAGTCCCTGGGAATCGCAACATTGTACTCTCCCCCCCCCTCTCTCTCTCTCTCTCTCTCTCTCTCTCTCTCTCTCACACACACACACACACACACACACACACACACACACACACACACACGTTTGGTCTGAACTGACTCAGACAATCTCAGTGACAAGGTGGAGATGAAGTAATATCCCCATTTTACAGATGAGGGAACAGAGTCCCAGGGAGGGTGACAGATATGACAACAAGCCAGTGGATGAACACAGGGACTAGGACCTGCGTGTCCTGACCCTGGTGTCCTCTTCCCTGCATTGCGGGCCTCCTTGGAAGAAGGTGAGCTGAGGCAAACACGGAGGGCAGGCTGGGGAAGGCTTCTGCCATGTGCAGAAGTCCGCCCTGCACCCCACCCCCCACCCGAAT